TATGCCCTAGCAAGACCTCGAAATCGAACAGCCTTTATGCAATTGAAGTAGGGTAACAGGTTAGTGGAGGAGTATGAGATGGAGTTCACTCGGTTATCCAAATTTGCTCCTCACATGGTTGCAACTGAGGAAGAGAAGACAGATTTCTTTATTCAGGGTTTAAGGCCTGAGATACAGGGATCAGTATCTGCTCATGAATCCTAAGATTTCGTCACCGCTTACAATGTTACTATTAAACTACCAAGGAGTGATCAGGGCTCCAGCAGTCAAGCACGATCAAGTGGTAAGCGAAATTTACTTAGACGTCCTTAGGATTGTAACAACAGACAGCACAGCGACGAGTTGATCGTTGGCCTTCTACAGGTGATGGGAAGGAAGTTTGTGGTAAATGTGGGTTGATGCACGAGGGACCCTGTATTGCTACAAACAAGACCTGTTATAATTGTGGCAAGGGTAACCATCTAGCCAGAATGTGTCGTAGTGCAAGGAATCGTAATGTGGTACGCACTGAAAGGCCCGCTCCAGGAGGAGGTGGTCAGTCGAGCGCTGGAGGATAGATCAAGGCTCGAGGTAAAGCCTTCACCACGACGAGCAAGGCAGTGGAGGATGCTAGCACTGTGGTGACAGGTACTTTATCTGTTTGTGGTTAGCGTGCATATACTGTACTTGATTCTGGCTCAACACATTCTTTTATATCACTAATCATTTGTTCGTCAAGCTCGACTTGAGGTAAAACCTCTAGGCTATGAGTTGTTAGTTTCTACACCTTCAGGAGTCATACTGATGACTTGTGAAAATGTGAAATTTGATAAAGTGATAGTATTTGGCTAACCATTAGATATGTTATTAATGGTGCTAGATAGGTATGATCATGATGTTATGTTGGGCATGGATTGACTATCTGCTCATCATGTCAGTATTGATTCTTACAAGAAAGAGATAGTATTCCAATCTCCGATGGGAAAAAGCTTTCGGTTTTAGGGTAGAAAGCTGGGAAGTATTCCCAAAACGATAACTGCTTTAAAAATCAAGAAGTTGATTACTCATAGTGCTGTGGCGTTCCTGGCTAGTGTTGCAGAAGTCAGACGAGTTGATACAGATGTATCAGTTGTACCTATGGTGAATGAGTTTCTAGATGTCTTCCCTGATGAATTACCTTAGTTGCCACCAGAACGGGAAGTCAATTTTGGCATTGAACTGAAACCAGGAACGACACCTATTTCTAAAGCTCCTTACAGGATGGCTCCTACAGAATTGAAAGAATTAAAGCTGCAATTACAAGAGTTGTTGAACCAAAGGTTCATACGGCTCAGTGTGTCACCATGGGGAGCTCCAATGTTATTTGTGAAGAAGAAAGACGGTACACTATGTCTCTATATTGATTATAGAGAGTAAAATAAGTATTCGTTGCTACGAATGGATGACTTGTTTGATCAACTTCAAGAGGCAACAGTATTTTCGAAGATTGATGTTCGTTCTGGTTATCATCAAATAAGAGTCAAAGAAGAGGACATGCCGAAGACAGCTTTTCGTACTCATTGTGGGCACTATGAGTTTGTTGTGATGTTCTTTGATTTGACTAACACCCCTGCTGTGTTTATAGAATTAATGAATAGAGTATTCCAAGATTTCCTGGATTCTTTTGTGATTGTGTTCATTGATGATATCTTGGTTTATTTCAAGACAGATTATGAGCACGCAAAGCATTTGAGGAAAGTCTTGCTGGTATTACACGAACATAAGCTATTTGCCAAATTCTCAAAATGTGAGTTTTGGCTTCAAAGGGTGGTATTCCTTGGCCATGTGGTATCTAAGGATGACATAGGTGTTGATCCAGTAAAGGTGGAGGTAGTTATAGGTTAGGCTCGATCAACTATAGTTATCCAGGATATTACAGGCGAATAATTTTCGCGCCTTTGACTCAATTAACTAGAAAATGGAAGAAATTTGAGTGGAGTCAAGCTTCTAAAAGGAGTTTTCAGGAACTCAAGGAAAGACCGGCATCATCACTAGTGCTTCGATACTAAGAATCTGGTAATTTATAGTGATGCCTCTAAAAATGGGTTGGGTTGGTTTGCGTATTTATGCAGAACGGGAAAGCTATTGCTTATGCCTCTTGTCAGTTGAAAGATTATGAACGCAACTATCCAACTCATGATTTAGGTGAGCTCTTGTGGTATTTTCTCTAAAGATTTGGAGACATTATCTATAGTCTACTAATTCCCACGGAGTTTCTTACCAACGTCCTGTGTGCTAAGTTAGGAACAATGAGTATTCCTGACTGTTGGAATATATGATGTTACAGACCGCCAGAGAAATTGGTTGACGGGCCGTATTTGACTGAGAGCGAGTTTTACATACGAGTCCAAAAATTTTAAATAAACATATAGAGAATCAGTAATCTAAGCTAGAGGTAGCTGAAATACCGTATTAAAGAACAAATGATCTTAATAAGAGAAACTAGGAATTAATGATAGAATAAAACTTTAAAACAGTTGGAAAGATCAGTATAAACTTGTGAAAGACAAGTTAGCTACTTACGGAGTAAATTAATTACTCATCAAAATTATTTTAACTTTTCTTTCTCGATATAGATGATGTAGGCTAACCAAGGATGACCAGCGGACTAGGGACTACCGGGAGTTCATTTCTGAGTTTGTTTTGTCTATATATGTTTTCGTTGTTGAAAAATTACTTTAGTTATTTTTTAGTGGTAAAATATTCTGGTTTTACATGTTATATACGAAAATGTTTTGGTTCTATGACTGGTTTTTGGAGTAAATTATTGATGTCAGTGCTAACTCCTGTAAATCGAATTGCCGATGAGCGGGTGTTACAAAAACAAAAGCGGACAAGACCCTGCTTTTGTTAAATAATCCGTGCACATTTTGTCCTTACTCCTTTTCATCTCCTTAGGCCATCCTTGAGCATTCCAGCTCTTCCACCAAAAATCATATAAGGGAATGCGAGGTGCTTTTAACTATAGATATTGAGATTCAATAGGGCTCAGGCTCCAAGTGATCGAACTGGTTTTCGATATAATCGAAAAATGGCTGGGTGTTGCCCTCGGAAGTCTGCTAGTTTTAGAATATTGAAAGTTTTCCAACCAACGAAGGCACTTCTAATTCATAGTGTGAGATCCCACGTCGGTTGGAGAGGGGAACGAAACATTCTTTATAAGAATGTGGAATCCTCTCGACGCGTTTTGGAACCTTGAGGGGAAGCCCAGAAGGGAAACCCCAAAGAGGACAATATCTACTTGAGCTCACAGATAAGAATTATCATCAGCGAGCTTAAATTGTATAGCGTATAAAAGTCTTACTTCATAGCCTTCATGACTTTTAGATTCACTTCATTCCAAAGAAAAGTAGAACCAGCAGAAGCACTAAATGTGTTTAAGGCAACATTTCAAGCTTCTATGTTACAAATATTATCCTATTTGGGCTTTCCCTTTCAGGCTTCCCCTCAAGGTTTTTAAAACGTGTCTGCTAAGAAAAAGTTTCCGCACCTTTATAAATAATGTTTTGTTCTCCTCCCCAACTGATGTGGGATCTCACAATCCACCCCTTCGGGGCCAAACGTCCTCGCTGGCACTCATTTCCTTCTCCAATCGATGTGGGATCTCACATTCTATGTCACATCCAAGATAATTTGGGGTTTCTTCCCAAAGGACTACTTCCAAGTTCAACGATAGTATCCTTTACAACGCCTCAGTTTTGCCTGATATCTCAGGATTTTCATAAAACCATTCGAGGAACTCTCGTCAACCATTTCTTTCGTAAGCGCATTTATTCATATCTTTCATATAATTTTCTGATTATTTCGTGATTTGATCCTTCTATAGGGTTTCGAAAGGAGTGAGAGAACTTCCCGGAAACTTCCAGTCGGCCACTAGTAACGTTCCCTCAGGAAAAGCCCTGATGTATTTTGGTTTGTTTCTAGCAACTGGAGTTTTCTTTATCTTCATTGCGTTCACCATGTTCCTCCCTGTCATGGTAATTATGCCTCAAAAGTTCGCCATCTGCTTTACTCTTGGCTGCTGCTTCATCATTGGATCCTTCTTTGCACTTAAGGGTCCACAGAATCAGCTTGCTCATATGTTCTCTAAAGAGGTAACTTTTCCCTAAATGTAAATACATTTTTTACCGCCACCCTCCCATTATTTTAGCTGATTTGTTACTTCGCTTCATGATTCAGAGACTTCCTTTTACCGCGATCTTTATTGGTAGTATGTTGGGCACTTTATATGTTTCCATGGGGCTTCACAGCTACGTTCTCTCAGTGTTCTTCTCTGTATTACAGGTATCTTCATCATTCTTCAAAATTTTAATACCCATAATGCATCTATTGTTCCATTTCGTATCGGTCCGAATTGAAACGTTTTGGTTCCTCCAGGTTCTCGCACTTGCATACTACGCTGTTTCCTATTTTCCTGGCGGGTCTACTGGGATGAAGTTTCTGACGTCTGCTCTTACGTCGTCGGTAATGAGATGTTTCGGTAGGTGATCTCGACAGTCATATGGCTTATGCTAGGCACACTGCACATTTCTCTACTGATTAGAGAGATCCATGTTAATGTGAGTTAATTTTGGTTGGAAATGATGCATAACATGTTGGTGTATGTAGAAACCAAAAATATTAGCAGCAGGCACCATTTTTCTGTGTTGTTTTCTGATTGTTTCATCTCCATTATCATATTGACTGCGCTTCTCAGAAACTGTGGAGAGAGAGAAATTAGTAATTATTTTTAAAAATGATATTCGATTGCACATTAATAATTAAAATCTCATATCTCGTTAAATTCAAACATTAAACATTTATAGATCCTAATACATTACTTATATCAATTACAAACATTTTTTTTTAAATGATAGTATTGGATTATAATCCTATTTTTGGGTTGGTCGAGATGACCCAATAAAAAGATGTCAATTCAAAAATCGAATCAAATTTTTATTTTTTTTAAATATTTAATTCAATCTAAATTGAAACCGAAAAAAATTTAGGCCATACAAGGGAGATTTAATTAATATTCATTGGAGTGTTAAGGTAAGTTATTTTCAGTGTTCACTCCCTGCGAGTTGTAGATCTGCTTCTTCCAAATTCAGGCATTGATCCATTGCGGACTTTGTTTTGATTGCGACTCCCATTCTCAACTCTACTTGTTCTTAGCAAAGTTTCAACAGCCCCAACTTGTACTCTGTTCCATAATATAAACCACAAAATCTCTGTTAATAAATAGAGAACATCATTTCTCGGCAAAATCTCTGTTAATTTAATAATTAATTTATATTTCTTCCAGGTGTAGGCTCGTACATTACTTTGGCTTAGAAATCCTTGTTGAGGATTGTTGGGAGAACGTCCCACGTTGACTAATTAAGGGAATGATCATGGGTTTATAATGAATACATCTCTATTGATATGAGACCTTTTGGGAAACCAAAAGCAAAGCTATGAAAATTTATGCTCAAAGTGAACAATATCATACCATTATAGAGGTCCGTGATTCCTAACATGGTATCAAAGCCAGACACTGAACAGTGTGTTAGCGAGGACGCTGGGCCCTGAAGGGGGGTGGATTGTGAGATCTCAAATCGATTAGAAAGAGGAACGAGTGTCAACAAGAACGTTGGGCCTCAAAGAGAGTGCATTGTGAGATCCCACGTTGGTTAGAGAAGAGAAGGGAATGAAGAATTTTTTAAAAACTTTCCCTAGCAGACACGTTTTAAAAACCTTAAGGGAAAGTCCGGAGGGAAAATTAAAGAATGACAATATCTACTAGCAGTGGACTTGGGCGGTTACAAATGGTATCAGAGTCATGCCCTTAACTTAGCCATGTCAATAGAATGCTCAAGTGTCAAACAAAAAAGTTGTAAGCCTCGAAGGTGTAGTTAAAAGTGACTCAAGTGTCGAACAAATAGTGTACTTTGTTCGAGGGCTCCAGAGAAGGAATCGAGCCTCAATTAAGAGGAGGTTGTTCGAAGGCTCCATAAGCCTCAAGAGAGGCTCTATGGTGTACTTTGTTCAAGGGGAGGATTGTTGAGAATTGTTGAGGAGGGAGTCTTACATTCGCTAATTAAGGGAATGATCATGGATTTATAAGTAAGAATACATCTCTATTGCTATGAGGCCTTTTGGGGAAAGCAAAAGCAAAACCATGAAAGCTTATGCTCAAAGTAGACAATATCATACCATTGTGGAGATCCGTAATTTCTAACAACCCTTGCTAATTAACCCGTGCTAAACCTAAGATCTTAACCTTAAGGTCAGAGGATAGTAATTATTTATATATCGTTAAAGTATTGTTAAAACTAAAACAACCATAACCTATTCGCTTAAGATTTTAGGTTTAGTGGTGTTTTGACACCGTAAAGCACGGCATGTGTGTTCAAGCTCCTCTAGTGTCATTTTCTTCTCAACTAAATTGATTTCCATTTGTTTGACCTTCTATAGATTTCTAAGCCGGCTATTGTGATGTCTCACATTGGTTGGGGAGAAGAACAAACCACTATTTAAGGGTGTGGAAACCTTCTCCTAGCAGACGCGTTTTGAAGCCTTGAGGAAAAGTCCAAAGAGGAAAATATCTGCTAGCGATAGATCTGGGTCGTTACAAATGGTATCAGAGCCAGACATCGGACGATGAGCCAGCATTCTCGCTGTTCCCCGAAGTGGGGTAGACACGAGGCGGTATGCCAGTAAGGATGCTGGGTCCCAAAGGGGGGTGGATTTGGGGGCAGTCCCACATCGATTGGAGGAAGGAAAGAGTGCCAGCGAGGACGCTAGGCCTTGAAAGGGGGTGGATTGTGATGTCCCACCTTGGTTGGGGAGGAGAACAAACCACCATTTATAAGGGTGTGGAAATCTTCCCCTAGCAGACGCGTTTTAAAGCCCTAAGGGGAAGCCCGAAAGGGAAAGCCCAAAGAGGACAATATCGGCTAGCGGTGGATCTAGGCCGTTACAGCTAACGAGGGGAGTACTAAAGTGTTGATATAATTAAATTTATTATAATCCATCAGGTTAAATATAACAGTCCAAGCCCACCGCAAACAGATATTGTCCTCTTTAGACTTTTCCTTTCTCGGTTCTCCTTAAAGTTTTCAAAACACAGGAGAGGTTTCCACACCCTTATAAAGGGTGTTTCGTTCTCCTCCCGTGGGATCTCCATTAAACTTTTAGATTTAATTTAACATGGAATCAAAAGTAACGTTGTAACTAAGTTTACCTTGGTGGTTCCAGATTCTGAGAGTTCCTCGGGAAGTTGTGACAAACTTTTTTCACCTTCAAAGCACCACCAAGAGGCATTCCCCCAAGAAACTGGTCATTCTCCATCTCAGAGAAGTCACTCTTTCTTGAATCTTGCTCATTTTTTTCTTGGCAAACTAGTTGCTTCTTCTTTGTTGAGCCCATTGCTGCTTTTTGGATATCAAGAAATGATGAAGGCTTTGCTATTGGTTGGTTCTCGTTCGTCTCTGTCTTAACCTTGCTTCTTAAAAGGGCACCTCTATCTGTTGATATTGATCTCCTAACTGGTGGAGATGGTGACCTTGGATTTCCAGAGCTTGAACTTGTTGTTGATCTCTCTTCACCTAACAATCTCATTTTTATTGCATCTTTCTCTGTCAATGTTGAGGGAAATCTTGACCTTCTTTGCTTTCCTGAAGAGCAGCTTCTAGCCTGATATCATCCAAATGTTGTCAAAACATATAACAAAATAGGTTAGTTTTGTCTCGGTTTTGGAACTAACCACGTGTTAGGAATTACGACTCTCCACGATGGTATGATATTATCCACTTTGAGCATAAGCTCTCATGGCTTTGCTTTGGGCTTCCCCAAAAAGTTTTAAAACGCGTCTACTAGGGATGGAGGTTTCCACATTCATTCCCCTCTCCAACCAACGTGGGATCTCTCACAATCCACCCCCCTTAGGGGCCCAACGTTCTCGTTGGCACACCGCTCGGTGTCTGGCTCTGATACTAAATTGTTGAACACAACTCTTTGTGGGAAAGACTCGCACTCTTTATTAAGACCAATCGAGAAACACTATGTAGAAACTACTGCACGGTAAACCTAACAAAGAAGGGTTGTGGTTGTTTCATTTGTGGAGGACCTCAAAGAGCCCGTGACTACCCAAATCAAGATAAATTGAGTGCATTGATCACAGATGACAGACAAGGGGAGAAGTTTCCTTCTAACCCCCCGCTTCACACGTTCAGTTTTCTTCTCCCTTACGTGATAGGACTCTAAAGCCAAGTGTTTGCTTCAGTTACAGCCCTCCATTGAATGGGGTGGGAAAGAAAGGTTCGAAAATCTAGTTTTTTACTCAAGTCCAGTGGCAATGAGGAAAGGAAGGACAGCTACAGAAGCATGGCATAGAAAGCAGGGTATGTTATGGGTTGTAGGGAAGAGGTAAGACGTGTACATGAAAGCAAGCGAGAGCAGAGCCTAGGGGTGTCCACGTGCTTTGTATGTCTTGGGATGAAAACCTAGGTAGGGTGGAGGGGTATTTACAGTAGAGGCTAAACAATTTATTTCTAAAATATCTAAATCTTTCCTAAAATACTTAAATCATTTTCCTAAAATAAATAAACAATAGGCTCGTATAATTACTGGGCTGGACTCTATTGGACTAGTGATGATATTTTAACAAAAGAACGATCGAAGACATTTGCTTACCTTCAAAGTTTTAGTATCATCCAGAGGCCGTTGACTATGTTCAGGCTTAGCACCTCCATTAGTACCATGTCTTAGAACACGAAAGGGCGAGGCAGTTCTTGGCTTCTGATTGTGTCCAAGAGCTCGAGCATTGCCACCCTTTAGCTGTTCAAGCTCTGTATCCTTCCTCTCTAAAGCTGATTTAAGATTCGATATCTAAACAAAAATATGAAGCACAAAGTTTGGTTGGTAGGACACTCTCGTACACAATGGTAAACAGTAACGCATACAGAACGAACCTCGTCTTTAAGCTCTCGGATTTGACTGTTTTCTTTGTTACAACGAGCTGCACCTAATTCAATGGAGGCAACTCTCTCAGCAAACTTAAGCGTGCTAATCGTCTCTCCGAGTGCATCGGCCTCGGAATTTATATGTACAAACATCAATGTCTTAGCTTGTCCACCTGTTCTTCAAGGAAAATGTAGCACATATTATAAACTAGCCAAGAAAAAGGCAAGAAAGAGAAAGGTTACCTAAAGAATCTTGAAGGAGTTGAGTAAGTTTGCTATTTCTGTAAGGGATATGAGCACTCTTTTGTGCAAGAGCAGATATCACATCTCCAAGTGCAGACAGGGATTTGTTTATATGTTGTGCTTCCTTTAATCTGTCACCAACAGCTTCAGATTTGTCCACTCTTTCACTACCAGCTAGATCAACTAGATGAAGACACCCCCTAATGATGGATCCAGACACCAAATCTTTTCCAAGAAGATGAACTATTAAAACACTACAACAAGATCATGCATAAACATTTAGACAGCGTCCAGTTTTGTAGGATTAAATCAAGAAGAGAAAAGCTTCTACCTATGTGAACGACTACTTCGCTCGTTTAACGCCGTAGCACCGATAGCTCGATTATTGTGGCCAATGTTCATCAAATGAAGAACATCTTGAGTGCATGTCACAGGAACCCAGCTTGCATCAGGTACATTAAGGCCACTTAGTTGAGAGTTGTTTCGTATATCTAACGTTCAAGCTGTTAAGAAAACGAATATAATCATAGAGGTGTGTTAGTAATAACGACTCTCCACAATGGTATGATATTGTCCATTTTGAGCATAAGCTCTCATGGCTTGGTTTGTGGCTTTCCCAAAAGGTCTCGTACCAATAGGGATGTATTCCTTACTTATAAACTCATAATCATTCCCTAAATTAGCCAATGTGGGACTCCCTCCCAACAATTCTCCCCTCGAACAAAGTACGCTATAGAGCCTCTCCTGAGGCCTATGGAGCCCTCAAGCACAGCCCCCCCTTAATCGAGACTCGACTCCTCTGGAGTCTTCAAACAAAGTACACCCTTTGTTCGACACTTGAGTCACTTTTGACTACACCTTCAAGGCTCACAACTTTTTTATTTGACACTTGAGGATTATATTAACATGACTAAATTAAGAGCATGACTCTGATACCATGTTAGGAATCACGAACCTCCACAACGGTATGGTATTATCCACTTTGAGCATAAGCTCTCATGGCTTTGCTTTAGGCTTCCCCAAAAGGCCTCATACCAATGGAGATGTATTCCTTACTTATACATCCATGATCATTCTCTAAGTTAGTCAACATGGGACTCCCTCCCAACAATCCTCGTGGTCATATGCACAAAATTTACTCGGCAACTGTTGTTTTAAAAGGATATCTTCTGTTTGAGCCATCACTGACTAACAAATCTCTCACTTGCTCATTGTATATTTCGATCATTTGAACACCAACTTCATATTTTATCATATCCAATCTTGCATTTGATATTTGGAATAAGTCATTGAGAGCTCGATAATTAACACCCCATGTATCCTCACTCATCAAATCTGGGCCACTCTGCAAGTAAATGAACATAAAAACTGTTAGGGTCATACAACAACGCACACACTCGATTAAGATGAACACAAAAAATAAGAAAGAGAAAATTTAAAGAGAAATATTGGCTAAAGGTTTTATTGATGACTTCAGATATGTACACCAAGAGAAAATACAGAAAATGAAGAAAGTACATTTTGAAAGACTGCTTAATGGGGTATATATCAACAGATTTAACCACCTACGAGATATTAATCTACTAAATATATCTCTACCAAATCTTTACGAAATATCTACCCTATATATCTCTACTAGATCTTTATTATAAATAAGCATCAGGCTCCATATCCCAACAAAAACTTGTCGGTCTTCAAGGAGATAAAGAATTTGTCAGTGTTTACCATTGTGTATGTCTTTCCCGAGCCCGTTTGTCCATATGCAAAGATGCATACATTAAAACCATCAAGAACAGATCTGATCAATGGTTGAGTATCCATATATATTTCTCCTGCAAAAATTTGTTAGCGCTTATCTTAAGTGATAATATTCAACTATTAGTATTTGATTCAACTATTTGATACCTTGGGTAACATTAGTTCCATAGACTTTATTGAAGGAAAATACTCTTCTTCCAATCATTATGTTCCCATTTTCTCCAATATAGTCAACAGTAGAATGCTGGTTGGCTTGTCCTGGCAAGAAAGGCCTCACTCTACAGTATACCCTTATTGTTCCTATGTTTACAAACAATTAGGACATCGACACGGCAAGAACATGTTCATAATATGAACGGAGTAAATTGTTAATTACCTTTAAGGTCTTGAACTTGATTGTAAAGTATACGATTCTCTTCCAAGACCTTGTGGTAAGAAGAGGAAGCCATTTCAAGGCCCTTGAGATGATGTTCTATGAAAATAAACAGAATGTAAGCATATTAAGTTCATACGAACTCAAAAGGAAGCAATTGAATAGGAGAAAAAAATATCACCAAGCCTTTCAACTTCCTCATTCCATTGGGACTGTATGTGTTTAACTTCAAGCTTGGTTTCTTGAAATGCTGAGTTTAGCTCCTGAAGAGCAACCAAATCAAATCTAATAAAAATCTACACGAAACAACGCATATATATTGTAACAGCCCAGACCCACCGCTAGCAGATATTGTCCTCTTTGGGCTTCCCCTCAAGGCTTTAAAACGCGTCTGCTAGGGAAAGGTTTCCACACCCTTACAAAGGGTGTTTCGTTCTCCTCCCCAACCAATGTGGGATATCACAATCCACCCCCCTTTAGGGCCCAGCGTCCTTGTTAGCACTCATTCCTTTCTCTAATCAATGTGGGACCCCCACCAAATCCACTCCCTTTCAAGGTCCAGCATCCTTACTAGCACCCCCCCCCCTCCTCGGGGAACAACCTCCTCATTGGCACATCACCCGATGTCTAGCTCTGATACCATTTATAATGGCCCAAGCCCACCACTAACAGATATTGTCCTCTTTGGGCTTTCCCTTTCGGGCTTTCCCTCAAAGCCTTAAAACGTGTCTGCTAGGGAAAGGTTTCCACAACATTATAAAGGGTGTTTCGTTCTCCTCCCCAACCAATGTGGGATATCACACACACACATATACACACACAGTAAGCATTAAAACCTGAATTTGATTTTGTTGAGCACGAACTTGTTCTTCATGGCCAAAAGCAGTCCTATGAATAACCTCACGTTTTCCTCCACAAACACAGAATTTGGAGATATCACTTGATGCCATATTAGCTCTTTGACTGATGTATCGAGAAATTGCTTCTATGAATTCAGATTTCGATAATGAACTTAAGTCACTTTTTAACATCTTTTTCAGAAAGAGCCCAAGCTGTAGAAAACAAGAGATGAGACTTAAGAACTCTTAGAACTACAATGCATTTTGTTGAATGTTCCATCATATACCTGAGTGCCTTGAGACATGAGCAGTGCAGAGAAATCCTTGACAACCTTGTTAAGTAGTGCATCAATTACCTATCAGATTCAATGTTAGTTTCAATTGCTTAAACTTAGAAGTAAACTATATGATGCAGAACCTTACCCTACCATTGCATTTAAAGGGAAATCTTCAATTTCGTTAGTCTCTTTAAGGTAAGCTTGTAGAAGTTTGAGTCCAAAACGATCAAAAAGAAAAGCAAGAGCACTGCAAGTTCTTGATTCTTCAACTGAAACTTCATTAGAAAGATGGAGGAAGTCTAGTAGCTGCTCGAACCGAGACGAATCCGACTCGTCTGTACTCTCAGTTCCAGTCACGGATGGTGAACTTTTGGCAAGAGATGTGATCCGTACAGTTCCTCCATATCTCCAAACGCCAATCCCACCAGCTTGTTTCCACTCATAGTATCCTTTCAAGCAAAGAATACACTCCACAACTTTACTAGAAGTACCTCCCTGCACGCATCAAATTCCATCAAAACATGAACATTTTCAGTGAATATGTGCAGCCAAGAGAAGATAAAGGAAGAGGGTTAGAACCTTTTCCAAGTCGGAAGCTTCGAATGTCAAGAGCTTCATGTTTTTAACTGCCTCCAAGAAGTTTCTCATGTTTTCAAAATACTGGATTGCAGATTGAGCAGCTCCTTCGGTTGATTGAACTGTCAGAACTGGACTCTCCACTACCTATTATAAACAAATAAGAACATCAAGATCGCTAGCAAATATTGTCTTCTTTGGGTTTTCCCTCAAAATTTTTAATTTTAAAACGCGTTTGCTAGGAAGAGGTTTTACACGAAGGGTGTTTCGTTCTTCCCTACAACCAAATGGGTATCTTAGGTTTTTCATCACCACTTTAACTATTCACAAGAAGAATGAAATCAATAACATTAAGAAGTATATTAGGACCTTGGGAACAACACCAGGGTTTACTTTGTTGAGGACGATGCAGAGGATAAGGCCATTGCGAAGAGCGAGACAGAACTCTTCTTCTGAGGGCTCCTTCGATAGTACTCCTAATGCTCCATGATCCATTTGGCGTAGCCATTCTACTGCTTGATTCCTCCTCAACGCTGAAAATACATCACCATTACAAATAGCAATAGCAAAACACAAGTTTGTTACAGAGCTCCTCCTCCTCTTTTCAAAAATAATTGTTGTGTTCAAAAAGATCAATAATAAAAAGGAATTATGTTCTTCTTTGGGCTGAAAATTTGGACCAATCTCTTTAGAAGATGGCCCGGATTAGTTGAAGGGAAATTCTGGGTTTATTTGCAACATTACTCCCACCACTTCGATTCTCTCTCTTTTTTTTCTTTAATGTTTTGTTCACCTTTTCCTAAATTAGTGGAACTATCATTATCTCTCCCTCCGAAACATGTCATTATTATTTATTATTTTTAAATAAATATGTAATTATTATTTATGGGTATAAAAATAAGATGTTGCAGTGTCAAATTACCATTTTAGCCCTACTTCATTTCACTTCATAGGTTTTAAGAATTACATTCTCAAAATTAACTAATTTTTTTAATATGGCAAAAAAATAAAGGAAATATTATATATATATATATATATATATATATTCCCAACTAAATATATAGAAGGAAGAAACCAAACAATTCTTTTTTTAAAAAAAAATTATTATAACAAAACTTAAATTATAATATTAATGTGAGCATAAGTCAACCAGAAAGAATTATAATTCTGGACCAAAATTAAATAAACTATAAAAAAAATCACATCACTAAAATAGGCATTTAAGAATAAATAATATGAATTTTTTATATATTGTTTTAAATTTTGGAATTTTGAATTGGGGCAGTGTACTTTCGTGATTTTAAGATTGAGACTTTGAATTTTAAAGGGGTGTGGGTGTGAAGAGAAATACAATAAAGTGGAGTGTATAGAGAAAACTCCGTGAATTTTCAAAAAACATGAAAAACAAAAAGGAGAGGGAAATCGGAAGAAAGATGAACTCATCGATAGAGAAAAATCAAAAAGCGATCGGAAAAAAAGAGTGCGACGGATTTAAATCTTACCAGCTTCTTCCGCTTTCCGCTGAGCCAATTCATCGTCGTTGATAACTTCCTCAGAAATCGCGGAATTAGAAGTAATCTCATTACAATTCGGAACCAGAGCCTTCAATCCTCTCATATTCTTGTTCGGAGACGTCAAAATCGAACTCCGAAAACTGAATTCCTGCGGCATTTTGATGAATCACACTCGATTCTCCTTCCAAGAATCTCCAATTCTTTCTTTTCAACGCACAGAAACAAAAGATTTACACTCCAATTCGATTTTTCCTCTGTTCTCACGATCTGAAAAAGAAACAAACAATGCCGATTCTCGATTCGCTTCACAAAAAAAAAAAAAAAAAAAAAAAAAAAAAAAAAAAAAAAA